GCCATTTTTTTTCAATGCCCACGAATCCCAATAGGGTTTATATATATATATATATATATATATGAAGGAGAGGGTTTAGGGTTTAGGGTTTAGGGTTTAGGGTTTAGGGTTTAGGGTTTAGGGTTTACGGTGGTGAAAAACCGCAAGGATGGCGCCTGCACATTGGGCTCGTGCAAGAGATATGCAACAGCAAGAGCTGTCTTTGGAGCCGCAATCGTGACACGGGAGTAAAACCTCTGACAAGGCAGGACAACTCAGGCACAGCCATTGCGCATGGCACTGATCGGACAGTTGGCCTGGCGAGATCCACGGAAATCACGGCACGCACTTTCGCCTTCAGCTTCGATTGTCCATAGACCACTACTCTCAGGTCTCGTCGCGCCTGGCAGCCGATCACAGCATAGCAGGCCAGCAGGACGGCGCGGAAGCTCGCCATCAGCACATCATGGATTCATGTTCATAACTACGTCGTGGGCCGGTTCGGAAGGCTCCACCATGCAGAACCTGCAAGCTACGATGATGTGAACTGTTGGCTGCACTTTACAACCGACGTGCGGGATCTGGCGTTTCAGGCCCCGCACACGTCTCAGTGTATACGTGTCATACCGGTAGTTTCGCCTCATGGCTGCTGAGCATGGCAAAACGGCTCCGGGCCATGCTAAACCCTAAAACCCTAAACCCCAAAACCCTGAACCCTAACCCCAAACCCTAAACCCCAAAACCCTAAACCCTGAACCCTAAAACCCAAAACCCTAAACCCCTTTTGATTTCTGTGTCTATGAAAGGCGAAGCCGTCAGCGACTGCTTCAGAGCAAAAAAGGAAAGACCCGAGGCCGAGGCTCGTCTCGGTGCGTCCTCCAAGAGAGCAGCTGACACGCCGTGATCTCCCATTATATATATATATATATATATATATGTATAAATATCTATATATATATATATTGATATTGATATTTATATTTATATATCTATTTATGTATTTATATCTATATTTATATATCTATTTATGTATTTATATCTATATTTATATTTCTATATTTATATGTATTTATATATATATATATATATATTTATATTTATATTTATACTTATATTTTTTTAGTTTTTGATGTTATTGTATATAGTATCTAGTATATAGTCCGTAGTATATAGCAAAAAGTTTATAGTATATATATATATATATATATATATTATAAACCGTCTACAGTATATCGTTTTGGTCGTGTATACTCTGGCATGCCGGGAGCTCCTGAACGCGCTGAGTGAGGAGCAGTGTCAGCCTCAGTGCACGGGACTCCCGTTCGGAAACCTAGTGAGGGTCTAGGGTTTAGGGTTTAGGGTTTAGGTAGTATGCGATCCTGTGGACACAGCAGGATGGCGCAAGTTCGACTGCAACCAAACTCTGGCACATTCTGTGCAGTTCTGATTTGGGTACAGCCTTTTCTCGATCACACCACGAACAGCCACCGCCACGGGCCACAGGTCGAGAGTCCTGGCTTTAGGGACCCTCAACGATGGCAAGCCGGTTCCCAGAGACTCCAATACCCCTTAATTCAGGAATATACCTTAAATTATGGTAGGATCCCTAAAAGGATTCAAGGTATATTCCTTAATTAAGGGGTATTGGAGTCTCTGGGTTGACCGGTTGCACTCGAAGCCCCGTTGCGATCCGTCTGAGCAAAAACGCTCTCAAGCTGCCCGATTCAATCCGGCAGCTCTCTCCGACGATCCACATCTGGAGCTAGAGCATGCTAGAGCTAGGGCTCTTAAAAGAATTTGGTATTTTGTGTGGGTGACAGCTGAAGAACAGCTGGACCCTCCTGTGCACCTAAAGAAGACCTGCCTTTCAGCTACTTTCAAGACCGGGCTACACAGTGCTCTTGCTGGCGCCCGGTCACTGTAAAGTTGTCTGCTTGTCAGGGAGGTCAATAGACATGGCGAGCCTCACCTACAGTGACGGTGACAGCTGTGCGTAGTGAAGTACCCACTGAGACCCCTGCGTGTAGAATCGTGGGAACAAGTTGATGGTTCATTCAACAGATGCCAAAGCTGCAACACAACACACTTGTCGTCTGCAGCTCTACGCATGCAATGAGTTATCGTGTGAGCCCACCAAGTCTTGTCAGCCCAGCGACAGTCGCTGATGCACCTCGTCTCATGCAGTCTACTGAAAATTTACCACAACTTTGTACTCACGCGGCACACGCGGCAGTGATGCCGAGGCGCATGTCCATGAAGCGGTCGGTTTCAACGCTCCTGCCACACCTCTCCTCCACTGTGCTGTGGATGAGCTGCTGGGCGTGCGTCTTCCTTACCGGTGCGCTGTAATCGAGAGGGCCGCACAAGGATCGTGCTTGCATGACCGATGTTTGCACGTCCGCTTTCCATTACTATGCCGGCCTGGCTCTGACGACATCCGAGGCCGTGGCATTTCTACCTGTCTCAAGCGCCTCCCTTCCCGTACAGTCAAGGAGCGCAACGTCGTAAACGAGCTCACCAGCTTGGAGCCAGGCGTCGCTCTCGGCCTGGGCCTGATCTAAAGCTTCAATGCTCCCACAAGACATGCGCCGCGCTACTTTACAATCATCTTTCCCATGGCCTTCGAGACACCCTGCCGACGGATTTTCCAGTGCTGCTTGCCCAGGACGCAGAGAAGCTGACACGGAGCAAAGATCTTTGAGACGGCAACGAGCGACATACTGTATAATGGAACTAAATTGCTATACCATACTATATTGTACTACACCGTACTCTACGTACAATACTGTACTTTGCTATACTATGCTGCACTATACTATACTACACTCTACTATACTGTACAATACTATACTCTACTGTACTATACTGTGCTATACTGTGCTATACTGTGTTCTACTATGCTATACTATAGTATAGTATGATCTGAGGCAGAATTTCAGGGATCCGCCTGCAGAAGGCGTTGGTCCCGGAGGTATCGGAGCTTGGCAGAGCCATGGGGCGCCCCGGACAGCCAGGCCTGAAACCCAACAGAGCTGAAGGTCTCTGTATATGTGCCTTGTGTATATTGCACATATCAATATATATATATATATATGTTTATATATATATACACATATATATATATGTGGTATGAACTGATATGATATGGTATGATATGACATGGCATGATATGATATGTTACGATGTGATATGATTTCTATGTAAGTATGTATGTCTGTATGTACATAGGTGTGTATGTATGTATGTATGTATGTATGTATGTATGTATGCATGTCTGTATGTATATTATGTACAAACACGAGATACTGTGTATATATATATATATGTATGTATGTGTATGAGTATACGTGAGTTCATGCTATAAACGAACTTCAACAGAACAAAAAGGGTTGCACCACACGACACATCTCCGAATGCCGGTGGTGCAGGAAACTCGGCAAACAGGCCTTCAGCACTCTGTAGAAAAGACGAAGGACGGCCTCTCAGCTGCCACACTGTACATACATGTCTTCTTGAGAAGTCAGAACAGAGCTAAACAAGCATCTTCTGTCGAATCTCCCTGTTGTCTGTGTATGAGCTCGTATAGGCACATGAATGAAGGGATCTTCCAGCAAGGCTGCAGGCATTTTGTGCTTGTCTCTGCTCTTTGAGGCTTCCATAGCGAAAGCCGAGCTGCCGATAATCTCGAGTGAGCTCGCACGAGGTCTCTCGTCACCATCTGCTGCAACACACGGCTGTCGCCCTCTGCAAATCGGCAGCCTGGTGACACGAATGATCCAATTTGACGGCGACTCTTCCACATCCCGGAGCCAGGCGGCAGAGCAGAATATCGCTGTTGGACCCGAATGGTGAGGATGCCATGAGCCCGAAGGATCCCACCTGCGGCGTCGGAAACAATTGCAGGCCGGGGGGAGTGCACCAGAGATCTTCCAGTACTACTAAGAGCCATGAGGTGAAACCCTGGTCGAGTCGCGTCCCGGCGCAGCAGCGCAAGGGACTTGATAGCAAAGTCTACAGCTTCGACCTTCAGGGCCAGAGAGCACGGGAAAGATGTCCCTCTTCCGGTGCTATGCGGGTCGTGGCCCTAAACCCTCCAACCTCTACAAAACATTAAAAACTAGAAGACGAGTGGCCCGAAAGCATCATTAGCCATGAGTTTTGGGGCCATGA